CTCCGTTAGATCAACGCACATCCTGTGAATATGTGTGTTGATCCAACTGTGAAAAACGATAGTCTGCAATTATTGTATTGCACTCACCACGTTTTTTACAACACCAGAGTTGTTAAACGAAACACGTTTCTTGTAAGTTCGGCTTATCTCACCCCGTTAAGACTCCATCGGTTCAGTAAAGCTCGTCAAAGCTCGAAAAAAAAAAAATTATATAATTTTCTATAATTTGACTTGTAAAGGCTTGAGCTCGGTTCAACTCGTTTACACTCCTAATCAACACACACCTGTATGTGTGTGTATATATATGTGTGTGTATATGTGTTGATTCAACGGTTGTAATGCAGTCACCGAATCTTTCAACTAAATACACAAATAATATATATATATCTATTTCCTCGATTGTTTGTCTAACATGTGAGTGATTACAACTTCTCATGGCTTGTCATTCATAGTGGGGTTTTATTGGTGAGGATTTAGTACGATATGGCAGGTCTGCTATCAGGTCCTCTTATTATTATTATTATTATTATTATTATTATTATTATTATTATTATTATTATTATTATTATTATTATTATTATTATTATTATTATTATTATTATTATTATTATTATTTTAAATTTGTTGAACAATCATGTTATGTTAATTACAAAATATGAATTTTATGATGAAAAGTCTTAATCTATATGCATTTATGGTTTCTTTAATTGACTTTGTAAAATTTGTTCAGCAATTTTGATAAGATGTATGGTTGATATACGAAACAAGAGTTTTGCTATACAACCAACAGTCAGCTCCGGAGTGGAGCCAACCTCCTATACATAGCAAGTAAAAAATATGTATTTTCTAATTCATGGAAAATATAATTAACAACTACTTAATAAAAAATCAGTGTTCTAAAAGTCGCTAGGCGTCTAGCGCCTAGACGGGGCCTAGAAAATAAATATTAAAAACCTTATTTTTTATTTATTTTAACTACCTACAAAACATTATCTCAAATTAGAATAAATCGGCACACCTAAGTCTAAAATAATAAAATTAATATATTTTAAAGAAAACCTGATGAGAACAAAATAATGTAATTAATATTTAAAAAATTAAAAAAAAAAACTAAAAAATTGTCGCCGAGCCCGCCTAGGAGCGCCTAGGTCCGCCTATGCCCGCCTTGGCACCACCTAACCGCCTGGCCGCCGAGCCCGCCAAGGCCACCTAGGAGCGCCTAGGGCCTCCTAGGCCCGCCTAGCCGCCTGACCGATTTTTTCTGCCGATTTGTGCAAATCGGAGGCGCCCGGGCACCACCTAGGCGGCCGCCTAGGCCGATTTTTAGAACAGTGTAAAAAATATTATTTGTGGTTAACAACTACTGCCTCCTATTTTTAATATATGTCGTTTTGAGAAGTTGCACGTTAATTAAGAATATTTTTTTTGTCAATAATAACTTTAAATAATGAAGATAGAGATGAATGTTTTAAGAAAAAGTGAAAAGTGAATATGAAAAGACTTAATGTATTTATTAGCTAAATGAGGGTAATAATGGAAAAATATGTAGAAAAGATCCAAAACGACATTTATTTGACAAATAGTTGATAAAACTAGAATGACATTTAAAAAAAAAAAAAAAATAGGAGAGAGTACTTGATAAGAAAATACAATTAATACTACTCAACTACAATGAAATAAAAGCACTTATATTTTTAAATTTAAAGTTTTAATAAATACTACAAATATTGTTTGTACTATTTTTCCAAATTATATAAACTACTTAGTTGTACAAATTAGTAATCCTAATGTTTAACTTAAATGATCCAAAGAATTTTTAAAATGATTTAAATAATATTACAAAGATTTTGCAGAATTTATTTTTTCGTTCAAATTAAAAAATATAATAACTTTTACTTTTTCAATATTGTTATATTTCTTATCAAGTAATTGTTGATTGTTTTTTTTTTTAATTCAATTATTAAATATAATATTTTTTATTTACTATGTATAGGAGGTTGGCTCCATTAATATCATGGTTGATTTAATGTTTTCAATGTTAACTCATCACGTTTTTTCATATACACACACTCTTATAATGAATTATGTCTCATATTTTTCGAAGGAGCTAAATTTAATTTTATATATTTGAAAACAACATTTCATTGCATATATATTTTTTTTACTTTTCTTCCTTTAGAAAAATATTTACATATTATAACCATCTAATGAATAATATTGCCCGTTTGACAACGTATGTAATGTTAAATTTGTCAATTACAAAAAACTAAAAAGTGAAATTGGTAATGTTAATGGTAGGATCCGATTCACAGTTAAATAAAGATTCATTATGGATTGAGATGCGGGAATTATAAGGTTTACGGGATATAATCACTTTTTTTTTACTTAATCACGAGGTCAGCCTCTAGTATTGAGGTCGACACTTTTCTTATATTTGACAGAATCCTCGAGATTATTACAGGATTGGTATAGTAAATGTAGAGAGAGAAAATGTTGGTCAAGATTTCAACCACCCTAATAAATGAAATGAGTCTTCTATTCAGCGGCGGATCTAGAAAATTTTCTGAGCCTTGGCAAAATATAGTTCGAAGAAATTTTTAACTATATTGCACAAAGTAATAAATCGTTGGAACAATTGAATGTTGAGGAATTCCCTTTTCAATTTTTCCTTTTGTCTTGATACCAAAAAATAAATTGAGAATGTAGTATGGTTATTTATTTTGCATTTTTATTATTGCTAATAAATATAACAAAAATATTTTGCAATCTTTCATTATTTTGTAACAAGAAATAAACAAGTTATTTTGAAATATAATTTATTAGTTTAAGAAAATCTTAAATATCATCATTTTTATTCTTGTTATTTTATAAAGATTTCCTTATGAATTATCTTCTTATATATAAATGTAGTTTTTCATTGTCAATTCCCAACGCTTTGTAATTCTATATGTTAATTTCTAGGGAATCGAAATAGTTCATATAAATATGGATCTTTATCCAGAACTTTCAAGTTTAAACGTTTGGGTAACTTAAGTTGTAAATATA